ACCGCAAGAAGCTGAATCTAGTGAACCCCCAGAATAAGAATTTAAATCCATATTCCTAATGTCCGACTACATTTAATATTTAAATCGAGACTTAACAAATGTTTTGTCATAATGAAAATGAGACAAACAGAAAAAGTGGAGCGATGATCACCAGAATGAAGAACAGATGTTGAAGGACTCACCTGACTTGTTCATGTAGAGGATTCAGATTATGGATTATTCTATATAAGTGATTCTAATGACACGTTCATGAGCACGGTCTGTCTGAGGCAGTTAAAGACGGAAGGAAAGTGTTCATGCTCATGTTATCGTCACATGAGGAGAGTGTGACAGGCTCAGATTAATCCAACACAACACACGTCATGACTCCAAACAACACATTCTAGTCGCAGCCGTGATGGAAAGTAAGTCTGGGACATTCGTCCAAAGAACATAAACACAGTTTGTTTAGCTGGATAAATACAAACGTGTTTACTGAGGTAAAGTTTCACACTGAAAAATGAAAACTACCCTTAAACCTGGTGAAGTCCAAACTAATGAAACCTTCTCCAGCGACTGAAACTAAAGTGAAAAATACTTGTTGAAAATTTAAAGACTGAAAAAACAAAAAATACAAATACATTCATTCCGGGCCCTGGGGCTACAATGATCTATGGACCCTGGGGCTACAATGATCTATGGACCCTGGCCGCCTGAACAGGTTCCCCAAGTTTGTTTGGTTAATATTGACCTCTTTCGGTAAATATCCTGAATAGAATATCTTTACTTGTTTCCCTCCACAGTTCTTAAAAGTCACAAACACAAGTCGTTCATTCCTCTGCCAAGGAAGTTGTGGTTTCACCCGACTCTACGTTGTTGTTTAAGTTTTGAGAAACACCGACACCACTGGACAGATTACCACGAAACTTTGTGGAAGGATGTGGAATTGGTCAGGAAACAACTCATTAAATGTTGGTGCATGTGAAACCTTTTTATTCTGCGATCAGTGCGATGAAATGACCGACACCATCTCTGAGAAAAGTTCGTTTAACAGACCGGTTCTGCAGGCTGCCACCAGGGGGCGACCAAGATGTTTTGGCTTCACTTTTGGGAGCCGCTATGACGTCCATCTTTACGTATGCAGACGATAGATCCTCAGAGGATGGAATTAATATGTGAAGACTTTGACTTTACGGACTTCTCGGTCCTGACATTCACGTTTCCTGCTGTAGTAATAAAACGTGTCGTCTCGGCGCTGGAGCTTCTTCACGAAGCCGGACTGCGGCCATTTGTCGACCTGAAACACAGACGAGAGGTTTGTTAATACTACATATTGAAACAACTTTAATAGACAATAGTTTTTCTTTTTGCTACAGATCTTAAATCTTAAAGAAAAAAGCACAGCCGCAAATAATTACCAATTAATTTTGATTTGTGCATTCATATATTGACCAACAGACCAAAATATTTCCTGTCCCACAATATTCCTGTGTTGTAAAACAATAACTACACCAGTCTGACACATTCAGAGAACGACATTTACCGCAGCCCCTTGTTTGACGTGTGAATACTCCACTTCATCTCTGTATCCTGCCAGCTGGAATCTGAACAGGTTCTCCACCTCCGCTGTCCATTCTCTGGCTCTGCTCATGGACTTGGGCTCGGAGGCGTCTTCAGCAGCGCAGGACATGTCGTCTGGGAAGACATGTTTGTTACAGGTGCTTTAATTTCAAACCTTCCAGAGTCAAAAGACAGCAGACGTTTACTGGAGCGATGCAACAGGTTCAAACACATGAAGATGTTCTGACAAATAAGGTTTTCACAAAGGGAGTATTAACAGTATTAAGAGTCACAGTGTAGTTTGGTGACATCTTCCCACTGTTAACTTTGTTAAATGAGCCAAACTGAAATAAAGACACATTCAATTGAAATGATTTGAAAACCAAAATGTTTTTCTGTTTGTGTATTTATCTGTATGCAGTTTAGTCTGTGTTTTATATAACTATATATTTCACAAAATAATACTTTGTCTAAAATAAAGAAGTAAACACGAAACATTTACAGTTACACAAAAGTATTTGACACAAAACTCAGCATTAAGCTTCACTCACAGTTTCTTCTTCCGTGGTTTTTTAAGACAATAAAATGATTTCCTGTTGTTGGCGGTTACGTCCTGTCGCTTCTGCCGGTTGCCTGGTTACCGTGGACTTTCTTCTTCGACGCTGGAGGACGAGATTCCTGCAGATGTGGTGTTTGTGGTGAAATAAAAAAAGTTTGGTTTGTTTTTTATCTCGTCAAATGTAAAATAAATGAGAAACGTGTTTTTGTAAAGAGTCTGTGATTAACACGGAGCGAGGAGCCGCGCAGCATGCGCCGACGCTAGAGGGCGCCGGTTGTCTGAGCTGCAGGGAGGAGAAGGTGACGAAGAAGAAGCTCAACTCAGAGGGCGGGACCTTCGGTTGAGATGTTATCAAAACAACGTTTCTGTCTCTAATCTGAGCGGAAATGACGTAACAGTTCGTTGTAACCATGAGCTCGTTCGCAGGACGGATGAAGGAATATCCCGCGCTGTCTCTGGACCGGTTCGACCAGGAAAACCTCTTCTCCAGGGCCTACTTCCTGTCCCACTGCCACAAAGGTTAGCTGCTGCCGGCTAGCAAGGCTGCTAGCATCACTTAGCACCAGGTTCATTCTGTCTGTGAATCTGTCTGTGGTCCTGTCTGTGGCTCTGTCTGTGGCTCTGTCTGTGGTCCTGTCTATTGTTCTGCCTGTTGTTCTGTCTGT